AAGAATTATTCCAAGAAAAGAATTGTTCTATCAGTACTAATTTTAGAACATATGGGAAATAGATTAATTGGGAATTTTCCGAATTTTCATTAACTCCTTATACTCCGTTGTGAATTTTTTTGACAGAAGTTACATGCTCACTTTCTGAATGGATGAATAATTTCGTCAAATATTCTAATCCAGATTTGTAATGAGTATACAGAGAAAGTTTTTAAAAAAAATGACAAAAGTTCTGAATTTAGTGCATATTCTTCAATTTTGATTTGTAGCGGAAAAAAGGTTACCATTTATCAATTTCTTTTTTCGATTTTTCTTTTTATATAAAATGCTTCCACTTTAATAGTAACGTTCCCAAAGATTGTAAGATTAAATTATCTTTGGTCTTTCTTACAATTATTGCAGTTATTGATCTTTTTTACGAATATCAGTTTTTTTTTTCACAATTCGTTTTTGTTCTACGGTCTACATAACGATCGGTACCTATTGATCCCATGTATGATACTCATGTATTTTTACTCATGTGATTTGTATCACAAAAAATACTATATATATAACTTATATAAAGGACTTCAACTCTCTACCTTAATTTATTTTTTTTTGATTTTTTTTTTCATTTTTTTGGACACCTGAAAGTGAGGCATGTGGTGTTAATTGGTAGAGGTCATGCATCTTCGGACGACCTAAGGGACAAGCCATTGCTGTAGTCTCCGCCATGTACACCTCATCATGGTCAATAGACCGCCGCAATCCATTAGGGTCATTTTTAATTCCCCCTTTTTATTTCTTTTATACGATAGCAGTATTCATATTTATTTTCTACTTTGATAAAGTACTGATTTTATAATTGCAGTCTTTTTTAGTAAGTAGTCATTTCTATTTTAATGTATGTCAAAACCAGAAACTAACATGTACCGATTTTCACTCCTACCAACATGAATCTTATCATATTTTCAGCTACCGATATTGATGAACTTTATTAGAGGCGAGTAAAATTTTTAGCCTGATCTTCATACCTAAACAATTCGTTTAAAGGTAATTAGCATGATGGTATCTTTAAATTGCTCCTAGGTGATATTAGTAGTTATGACTATTTATGCTGAAGAGTGGAATTCGTCTGGTGGTTGATTGGGTTGATTAGGTTGATTGAATAAAACTTCACAAATCGATCATAAAATCATATGAAATTTATTTATTTATATTTGCCGCAAATCTGCTATTTCGATCTGTGGACCTGAGATGAAATACACATAATTCCAAACATAATAAAAATCAATGGCGCAATAAATGAAAATCAAATGGCTGATTTAATCCAAACTGACCAATTTCTAACAAAGGAGTAAGAACGATTCTCAAGGTGGAAAATATCGGATTTAATAGTTCATATCAATTCAGAAAAAAAGAAAGGCAACGATAATGCTTTTTATTTTTATGTATAAAATGCATACAACTTACAAGAAAAATTCTCTAGTTAGAAGCCTAAGTTGAAATAGTAAAACAATCTGAGGGTCTTATGTAAAGCTTCCGTTTGAACTTTGAAAGTCATAGCGAGATTCGAATATTTGAAAGTTTTTAAAATGTAGATTCGAATATGATTCGAATCTCACCTGATATTTAAATCTCAAATGGATATTCGAATCTCATGTGATTTTGAATTTATTGAATTTATTAAATATTTATTAAATATTAAGGAAATGTAGAAATTCAATTGACATTCTTTTTATAGTAACTTCATATTTCACAAAAAATTTTATTAAAATTATATTACAAAATATCAAATTGCGAAAAATCTAGCTTTACATATTTAGCAATATTTAAATTTGCAACAAAAAAAATATTACAAGTCTTTGAATTAACATTATACGAATTAATGTGATGTCCCTGATGTTAGAATGGTGATAAGAATGAGTCTTGATCTACCAATTTACAGATCTCGATCTTATGAAATGAATAAAAAAACCTTCTCCTTTCTAATTAATTATCTATCAATTGAATAATATTATTACTTTTTTCTTCATTCTTCGAGTAGTAGGGCGATATTACCCATTTTGGTGCATTGTCCGGTGGTTCTGAATTATCTTTAAATATCTTATCTCTGTACCACCGCTTTCTCTAGACTTTGGTATGTTGTAATGATTCTCCCACGCTATCGGCAATTTGAAGAAGTTTTTTGACCTAAAAAAAATAATAAGAAATTATAAGCAAAAGAAAGTTAAAATTATAAAATTTTCTAATTTACCTCTACAGATCTTCACGGTTTGTTATACACATGAATCACGTGCTTATCCAATTTGTTTTTTGGTCGGACAAGTTCATTGATTTCCTTCATAGCCATTTCTTCATCTGTCTCTGATATTTCATCGGAGTGATAAGCTTTGTTATCAACTATCTCCTCTAGGTCTTTCTCATATTTCTCTACTGTCAATGAATCGGGTCGTAAATGCACAAAAGTGGGGGATTTAGTAGTATACATATATTGAAGGCCCTGTTTTCGTCTTTCTTTTTTCTAAAATAAATTAAAATAATTAATAAGTAAAGCATCAGTATCTCAACATCAAAAGATACTCACTTCAGAACGTCTAGAATTTGTTCCCTTTCATTTTTTGTCCTCCTTAGCTTTTTCAGAATTTTGTGAAATTTTCCAATTTTCTCGTCTATGGCGATGAGCCGATGAAGTTGCTGCAGAACATTTTTAAGTTCTGTCGAATTGTACTGGACTTTACTACTTAACGACTTATCGATTGTGGGCAATGTTTCTTTGATCACATGATTTTGAATTTCATTCCAGGATTTGGTATAGTCTAGGAAGAGAGAGCTATCGAGATTTGAAAGAATTTGAAATACTTCATTCTAATTTATAAAACAAAAATAGGCCAATTAATTCTGATCTTTTGCAGGAAGTAACATTTATTAACTTGTTAAGATCAATAAATACCCTGAAGGATTTACATTGCTCTTCATCAATTGCTGCGTGCTGCATTAGAAATGTTTGTTTTGGAGACACCGATTCATATTGATTAGTGGTTGCAGTATTATTCCCCAATTGTGCTTTTTTTATAATTAATACTTCTTCAACCAAATGATCTAATTTTGAATTGATTTCAGACAACTCTTGTAAAATTAATGGGTAAGAATTTGTTAGTAAGAAATATAACGCATTTTTTTCTCACTGAAAATTTTCAATTTTTATACCTTCTCTTACGGATTTTCTCTTATGGTCTCTGCTGTAACTTCGATTGCTTCTTTTATTGCAACTCCTATTGCCCTTTCTAGTACAGCTTCTACCACGTCTTTCATCTCTACTATCGGTACTAGAGTCTCTACTCCTTTTTTCGTTAATTCTTCCAGAACTTTTACCGCGAGTTTCACTTGAATGTCTACTACGGCGCTTATCATCAATATCTGGAGTTTTTTTTCTTCCAGGACTTGGGCTATCAAAACTTGAATTTCTTTTATTTCGCTTCGAACTTGG